GGATGTACTTGAATTATTATTATAAATTATCATTATGTCTAAAATGGTCTTAAAACGGTGCCGACAATATTATCGTTTATCGCAATAATTTCCAGAAAAGTTTATCGTCCAACACAATTAATTATCGTGACAGGCCTAGAGGTAGATGCGGTGGCCCTATCAACGTATAGTGGATGAGCCTATTGAGAGAAATGCACATTAATTTAAGTTTAGACTAAGCCTAATAGCCCATAATATGACAATACATTTTATCTAACAGGCTTTTTATTAAGGCTAGAGCCGCAGAGCGTCCATCTTTTAATGGCTTGAACGGTACTTACATGTTTCAGGTGATAATTCATGTTTGTAGTTGATGAATGATAGGAGAATATTTGCTTGCAAAGTTTGCATATCACCTTCTTCGGGTTGTCTGTTACTTTTTCGAAATGCTCCCAAGCTCTTGATTTTACGCCTGACATGGTTAAAACTATCAGCTTATCTGACGTGAAAACAAGTGACTCCTGTTTCCCGTTTTTTTTTTTTTCTCAATCTTTTTTTTTTTTTTTTTTTCGGCGACCAACGATCAATTAAATCTTGACCGACCAAAGACTCTTTGGCCGACTAACCTTTGGTCGACTAATCGGGGGGCAGCCCTAACGTGAACACACACGTTCTGTTATGGTATATTTCTCTTCCAATAAATGTTCATTGAAGAAAACAGTATCAGTGTCTTATTTTATATTCATCACAGTGAATGCTGAACTTGATGGGCCCACCGGTGGGTCCGGACCATGACATGAAACACTGGCTTGCTTGTATCAAATCAATACATCCCTAATACCATTGGAACGGGAAGAATCTCAGCTACAACACTAACTAAATCATTTCTATCTCCAGTAAACACAGCCTACATGGCAAGCATTTTTATAATATACAGTAATGAAAAATAAGCACTATCTTTGAACTTACTGCCAAAAATAATATGAAATTCACCCCTGGTGTCATTCTGTCTGTCATCCCTTGATCCTACTTGCTTTGACTGTTCAAACGAGATGTCAACCATCAAAATTGGATAAGGGGTTCCAGAGATATCACTGTGCAAAACCGGTCAATTTTGACCGAAAATAGCATGGGAAGGGGGGTATGACCTAACGCAAGACAAGGGTGAAGAGGGAGGGGGGGTCAGAGGGCCGAGGTATAAAAGTCACGGCTCGCCACTGCTATAGAACAACCCGTTACATTCCCCAGAAATAAAAGGCTCCCTTGCTTTGTGCATTTAGACTTCTGCTAATGCAGAATGATCAGATTTTGTGTGACCAGACCACTTCTGAATGTTACTGTGCGATTGATTGTTTTGTGTAACTGTGATACGACATTCATGGGTCAGTTCTCTGATTTGGTAACCCTCTATTTGTGCTAAGTGGTTATATCACAAAAGTGAATTAAGAAATCAATTGAATGTTATTCTGTCATTGACACATGTTGCCTTTGTGGCTGCAAAGTTGCATAGTCTAGCTTCAAGTCTTTTCTCTACCCACTACAGTTTTAATTTATTAAACTTGCTAGTATCCATCACATTTCTGTGGACTATTAAACTCTGTGTTTCTATAAGTTGCCTCATTACACGTCCATTTAAAGGTGGAAGAGGAATTGGACACTAGACTTAATTAAACTGTTCAGAGAGACATGAAGCTAGTCTGATGAACACAGCATGATGTCGTCTTGTTGCTCTGATCGACAGGTCCCTTCATCGACAGCATCGCCGGGGTCCCAGAGGAGTTTCGCCATGTGGTGTGGACCCTCGGCATGAGGAGACTAGCTGTGCTGGTGGGACGGGCGCTGAGATTCGGAGAGTCTGTCCTGCTGGTGGGAGACACCGGGTGAGATTCTAATCATTGTGACCTTCAGAAGATCAGGGTAAAAGGGTTCTGGAGAGCTTTATCCCTGGCTCTATGGAGGGATAGGGGGACCAGACTATGGACATGTTTTTTACTTTGCTATTAACTGACCTATGCCCTAGCTCCAAGTCGTGATGACACTAGTGACTAATGACTAAACATTCCCATCAGCCTCCGCTCTACTTTGTGTTAATTAGTAAACATTATGACATGTTAGCATGCCGATGTTAGCAATTAGCGTTAAGCACTGCTTTCTCAGTAGAACCTCTCGGAGCAGCTACCATGGCAGTGTGGTCCTGACCTGTCAGTGAATGTTGCTGCACTTGCTGTTATTATTATAATGCTAAGATTTGTTCCTGTCCCGTCACCAGATGTGGAAAGACAACTATCTGCCAGCTGTTTGCTGCTCTGTCTGCACAGAAGTTCTTCTCTGTCAACTGTCACCTCCACATGGAGACATCGGACTTCCTGGGAGGCCTGCGACCCGTCAGACATCAGGTACCTTTATATACACAGTCTATGGTACTTTCACACATGACAGTATTGATACATAAAGAAATCATGAATGATATCATTATAATGATAAAATTTAACATATTGTGATATTTGTAGAAACATTTTTATTTGATTCATATCGTATATAAATAAAAACACGATTTATTTTTAACCTAATTAACATTACACTTTAATTTGAAAAAAATGGTCTCAACAGATACTTAGAGTAACGCATATCTTGCAAAAAATAAATTCTATCTGGTTTAGGTTGCAGCAAGGACCAAACAAGCATCACGTGTTGCACTACTGTATTTTAACCCTATGATTTTAATATAATATGGTGTGATATTTTGCAGGACACCCAAATATACCAAAGGTTGAACATTAGATTAGTTGCCTGGCAGTTGGTATTACAGCCAGTGCATGAATGTGTTTGTGGAAAGATCTTTTGTCATGATTTATCATCCTCCCTGTGCGTGTGTCTGTGTGTAGACTGATGGGGAGGACTACAGGCTGTTCCAGTGGAATGATGGGCCCCTGGTGCTGGCCATGAAGGAGGGGGGGGTGTTCCTCATGGATGAGATCTCCCTGGCAGACGACTCAGTGCTGGAGAGACTCAACAGGTACACACACACACACACACACACACACACACACACACACACACACACACACACATACACACACTTTAACTTTGTAAGTACTAACCCCTCCTGTAGAGGGTGGGGCACAGGTAATCTACATCACATTGTTTGAAGGTGGAGTTAGCAGCAGAACAAAAGTCTATCTGCACAGTTCGGATGTGATGGTCAAACTGTCATTATAGGGGTAACCTGCTTTAGTCTAATGAAAGATAACATTTGTATCTTTGTTCTAAACATGCTGTTCTACATGATCTCGGGAATCTGTCAGACCAGATTCACACATATCAACCGCTTCAATTTCAGTACCTGTATGTGTGGCACGAAGTTGCATAGTAAAATGCATTTTGACTAATGAGCATTACAAGAATAAGATCTGTCAGGTATCGGATATCTAAAAAAACTTTTTAGGCAGACTGTAATCTAGACATGTTTGACTTTGAGTAAAAACAAGGAAAGAAGCAGCGCTGTAGTCTGGGGGTAGTCTCTATCGTCATATCACAGTAGGGCGAATAATCAGTTTTCAGTGCAGATGGCCTGTGTTCTATTAGACATTAATGGTAAAATGTTGCACAAAAAGAAAAAATAGAACTGCAACAAACTTGGCAAGAACTGTGTTCTAAAAAACACCTTCTCTTTCCCTTTCAATCAATAAGGACACCTTGTGATGACAGTTAGTAAAACATATGTGCAACAAGTGGTACTGTTACGAGACTTTTAAGAGTATACTGCCACAAATTATACTTTTGCTACACTTGGAATGACATTTTGAGACACAACCACATGCAGGTGAATAACAGACGTGGCTGGCCCTTGACAGTGTGTGTTTCCTCTCAGTGTCTTAGAGACAGAGAAGTCCCTGGTGCTGGCGGAAAAGGGCAGCGGAGACAATGATGACGTGGAGCTGATCAGAGCAGCTGCAGCTTTCCGTCTGGTGGCCACCATGAATCCTGGAGGAGACTTTGGCAAGAAGGAGGTAGATAAAAAAATAAATAAAAATAATGTTGCTGTGTTGCATTTGCCTGTTATTGATTCTACTAAAAATGTAAATACAATGTTTGTCCCAAAATGCTCTTCAACCTTTGTGTTGTCTTTCTATCAGATGTGCAACTGTGTCCTGGTTTGAGTGTGTATAAAGCATGTAGTATAAATCATAACTCAAATCTTGGTTACACCTTTTCAGCCAACTTCATATAATAGTAAATTAACCCTCATTTACAGATACAATTGAACGTTATTTTTGAGTTAAAAAAAAAAAAGGTCCAACATTTTAAAATGTCTAAATGTGCTTTTACCTGTATGAAGGAATAGTATAACTCTTGTGCTTGTTTGTTTTGGCCAGCTCTCTCCTGCCCTAAGGAACCGTTTCACAGAGATCTGGTGTCCTCAAAGCAACAGCCGCAGTGACCTGATTCAGATCATCCAGCACAACCTGCGCTCAGGCCTCTCCATCGACGGTAAACTAGCTTAGAGACGAAGTTGCTGAAACAAGTCTTAGTTACATCCAGTCAGTCCTAGTTACAGCATAGCAAACGATTGATGTGTGAAAACATAGAAGACAGCCAATTGAAAGTGTTCCTGATGTTGTTCCTTTGTCTGGTGCAGGCGGCGATATCGCGGAGCTGATGCTGGACTTCATCGAGTGGCTGACTCAGCAGGACTTCGGCCGGCGCTGCATCCTGAGTGTCAGAGACATCCTGTCCTGGGTGTACTTCCTGAACGTTGTGTGTGAGCGGGACGAGGACGGCTTCATGACCATGGGAGCCCTGGAAGAGGAAGAGGAGACAGAGTGGGACCTCAGACTGGACACCGTGACCGCCTTCATCCACGCAGCATGTCTGGTGTACATCGACGGCATTGGCTCTGGTGAGCTGATGGATTATTATTATTTTCACAGAGAAAGATTCTCTCCAAGGAGGTTTTGATTGTTATCTGAGGGTCCCTCTTCTTGCAGGAACCACGGTGTCCTCTGCAGACAACGCCTTCCTGGCTCGCCGAATGTGCCTGGGCTTCCTGCAGCAGCGGCTGAGCAGCATGACCAAACTGGACCAGGAGGTGCTGGACGCCCTGAGGGTGTACGACAGCGGCCTGCCGCGGCAACCCCAGTGGGGGGAAGACTTCTTTGGCATCGACCCCTTCTACATTGCTTTAGGTTTGAACGCTCCAGATTTATAACATTCTATATCATGGCTCCTTTAGTTTTTGTTCAAATGTTTTATAATATGCTTTATAGTAGGCTGTAGTCTTATGTGACCTAGAAAAAGCATAGTCATATATATATATATCAGTGATGCAAATTAGTCGCTTTTCGGCGCCTCCCGCTTTTTTAACGCTGCTTTGGGTGACTTGTGTAATTCGTGGAGAACCGAAGAGTTTTCGTTTTCAAAAAAGAAGAAGAAATCTAGACCGCAAAAATAATTAAACAAGCGAGTGCCTGTTTTTCCTGGCCAAGGACAGGTTCCTTGAACACAACACGAGCGTAACGTGTCTTCACGTGGTTATGTCTCGTCTGAAAGGAGTGTAGACTAGACTAGAGTGCTTACGGAGAGCAGCGGAACGCCGCTCCAGCTCTTCAAATATTGCAGTACCCATAAGGAGCCGTACACATGCCGCAGTGTTTGCGAGGCTGTGTCTTTAGTTGTAAGCACAGTGGCGATCTGTTGTTATTAGCATCTGGTTAGCTAGCTATGCTAACGAATTTAAAGAGCTTTTCTACAACCAGGTGGAAGAGAGCTCTCTCCTGAGAGGCTCAAATAACCTCAGCTCAGTGAGGTTAAGGCACACCTTGATATGATCATTATAATTATTAATGAGACATTAGAGACTAAATGAAAAACAGGTATAAAATACTATATGACAGTAACAAAAAAAAGTTGTTAAAAATAACAAGAATAGAGTTTAAAAGGAGAGTGATTTGTAAAATATCCAAGAAGAAAAATCTGCTTACAGTTCTGTTTCAAATGGGTGTTGAGAGATGTACCCATAGATCTCCTCATGTTGNGTTTTTTTAAGCAGAGGATGAGTAAAATAATTTGTACGACCCTCGGAGGATGTTGTAAAAATTGAAAGGAAAAAGGTTCCCCACCCCTGCTGTAAATAATAATAAAAACCCTTGATTTATAACTTAACATCTCTGTCTCCTATTGATCTGAGTATATTATAAAGAATAGCCAGTTAATTGAAGCATTATAGCACAGGCCTTTGTCAGATGGTATATTACGCTGTTTTTTTCCTGCTTCGAATAGTTCTCTCTTTTTTCACCATACCTGTGTTTGCATCACTGATATATATACTGTATATATATATATGTATGTCGGGATTGTATCTGAAATGTATAAAAAGCCGACCATACATTTGCAATGGCCAGATTAAGAGACATGGTAAATGAAATGACGTCATCTGAATAGAAGATGCACGTTACAATTTGGGATGTCACTGATCCCTAGATACAGTTGTTATAAAAATATGGTGAATAAAGAAAGGAGAAGAAAGCAGTTCACCTATACTAACAGAGACTTGAGTTTTAACTGTTAGAAACTACGTCTATTTATCTACTCCAATTGTACATTCCAATAAAATCCCATGACCGACCGACTCCACTGCTTTAGATAAGTCTATGATGAGTGCAGCCCAGTGTTGTTTATTATCTAAGGCTTCAATAATATTACTACTCATAATGGATCTTGTGTTGTGCTATGACTTGATCTAAATCCCGACTGCTGCTGTAATCTGATGCAAAATGAACTTCTTTAATAATCAAATACCCTGCCCCAAAATTGTCCATAAATAGTTATATAAATATAACAAAAACATTTTTTAAATGAATTACCCACCGTAGCTTTAAATCATTTGCGTAGGTCCTAACTAGTGATACTCTTGGCCTGCTGGTTATAGTAAGTTAGTGCGCCTTTGGTTCCAAGCTGCATTGGGTGTCTGAGACCCGGTATACATGCTTTAGGTCTAGATCGATAAAGAAATTGTTTAAAATTTGAGACTGATTACAAAGAGTTTAACTTAATAAACTGGTTCAGTTGAGTTTCTCTTCAGGTTCTTGAATCAAAGAGCTCTTTACACTTCCTGTCCCTCCAGGCCCTCAGACGGAGAGCCGGGACCTGCCGGACTACGCCATGGCAGCTGGCACCACGGCGGTGAACGCTCAGAGGCTCCTGCGGGCTCTGAAGCTGCAGAGGCCCGTGCTGCTGGAGGGCTCCCCCGGAGTGGGGAAGACCAGCCTGGTGGCAGCGCTGGCTAAAGCCTCAGGGAACCATCTGGTCAGAATCAACCTGTCGGAGCAGACGGTGAGACTTCATTAAACAATGCTCCCCTTGGAGCTCCGGATCTTTTAATACTTCCTGACTCTGATGCTATTGACTGATGGTTTGCTCTCTGGCAGGATGTTACAGATTTGTTTGGGACAGATCTCCCTGTGGAGGGAGGAAAGGGGGGAGAGTTTGCGTGGCGCGATGGCCCCCTGCTGGCTGCTCTGAAGGCTGGACACTGGGTGGTCCTGGACGAGGTAAGCACAATGTTTTTCATTTAATTTCGTTAAACGACCTCCATTTTTGATTACTAACTATAGCGACAGCAGGAAACTAACAAAGTTACTGAGAGGCTGAGGCCGGGCCTGTTTGATATTGTATGACACTCTGAAAAAAGAGTACTTGCTGAGATCAAAACTCTTTTGAATAATAATGTAGTTTAATGGACAAAACGTGGTGATCAGACATAGATATTGTAATAATAATAATCAAAGCAATCACAAATCTTGCGGTCAACAAAAAGCATAACGGCCCTGTGTCACCCTCTCTTCCACACACACACCTCACGCAGGTGAACAGGATTATAATGAGTGCCGCCCATGTGACCCAAGCCAACCAATCAATAGTGATCAAACAAATATCTTATATTAAAACAAAACGCATTACTATACACGTTTCATGGCTCCTACAATAACCTTAATTAAACAACCTGTAATGCGTTGATATAATCTGGGATTTTAAACTGACTGGACTTGTTGTCATGGTGACAGCTGAACCTGGCCTCCCAGTCGGTGTTGGAGGGTCTGAACGCCTGCTTCGACCACCGAGCAGAGATCTACATCCCTGAGCTGGGCATGAGCTTCCAGGTTCAGCCGGAGAAGACCAAGATCTTCGGCTGCCAGAACCCCTTCACTCAGGGGGGGGGGCGGAAGGGGCTGCCCAAGTCCTTCCTCAACAGATTCACCCAGGTGAGGAGCAGCGGGATTCATACACATTTTTTAAGATAGTTCAAAATGATTATCGATTGCAGTTTTTAATTTTGTTTAATTATTTGTCTTATTTTCTTGTCTATTAATATATTTGGGGATTTTGTAAATTGATATCTTGGTAATTTAATAAAAAGTGCATGACTTTTAAATTAAATGTCTTTTTTTTTAATTTAACCTTTTTTCCCAATTGCTCATGATAAAATCTTTCTCTTTGGTTAATACATATTTTACAGTAGAAATCATTTTAGTTATTTTTTAAGCAAATATTCTCTGGTTGCAGATTTATATTTGAACATGCATTTCTATGTAATACACCATTGTTTGTCGCCTTGACATTTCACAGACTAAACCTTTAATTTAGAAACATTTACATATCACTTAAGATCTCTTAGATTACATCTGCCTTCCCCCTGTGTCCTAGGTGTTTGTGGACCAACTCACAAGCAAAGACATGGAGTTCATCGGAGACTCCATCTTCACCAGCATCGATAAGGAGATCATAGCTAAGATGGTGGAGTTCAGTAACAGGGTGAGTTCCTCTCTGTCTGCTGTGAGAAGATATGACCTGCGAGGCGAGCATCAGGCCAAGTTTTACAAGTGAGGTTTTCTTTCTGCATTTCAGCTGGTCCAGGAGGTGTGTGTGGAGCGGCGCTGGGGTCAGAAGGGAAGTCCCTGGGAGTTCAACCTGCGCGACTTGTTCCGCTGGTGTGAGCTGATGCAGGCCGACCAGTCTCCAGGGTTCTTCAACCCCGGGCAGCATGTAGCCCTGGTGTTTGCTGACAGGATGAGAGCGGAGGCTGACAAGGCTCAGGTACACTGCTGCTCCAACCTGCACCACAAACATAATCAGTACATTCATATAGGCAACTAGAAAATGCATTTCCTGCTGAAAATGCGTGTGAATGCTGTAAACTGTGAACATTTGTTGCTGAATTTAGCTGAAAATGCAGAAAAAGCTGAATATGTTATTAGTTGAATGGTCTCTGTAGCTGCTTTTAGCTACAGAAACCAAGTAAGTGTGTTGCTGAACTTAGCGGAGAAAT